AACCTTTGACCTTTACGCCGCGTAAGTGAGTTTTCCAACTATTCTTCAGACGTGCTTCAACTTTAAATGAAAAAGAAAATTCTTTCATTTTCACGCCACCCACACCGTCGCTCAGAAATGTATTCTTTTACCCTTTGTAATTGTCACGTCGTACGACGGAGTTATCGTGACACAATTAAACTTGTAACTTTCAACCGATAAATACATTACTCATCGATACATAAATTAAATTCGTAATTCGCTGAATTTACATACAATGTTTCTAACTGTATTAATTCATCATTAATCAAATCAAAGTGCCGTCACTCACTCACGAGTCATTGTATGCGAATCGTTGTTAATATTCAACGATTAATGAGCAAAATTAAACATTAATGCAGACTGAAACGAAGAATCAAATCAAGAGTTGTTCGTAAGCTACGAAACGGCACAGAGATTATGAGTGGGATTTCGAGCTTCAGCGTGAAAATTCGTGTAACGCAGAGTGCAGTTGTCTCGTGGAAAGGAGCAACGTGACACGGTACAGAGCGCCAGAAAGCACCGTGACACATAACGTCTCTTTTCGTGTGACGTAAATGCATACGAATGATTGATTAAGTCGGCATCCCGTTACGATGATGAAGTTGCCAGTCTGCCATTACACGTGTTGCATGTAATTAACACTAGAACTACCAAGATGGTTAAAACGACCAATCTGTAATTTCAAAAATGTAAAACAACGAAATTATTATGAAAAATTTGAACGATCTTTCGTAAAATCTACTAAATAAAAAATTTGTTTCACACCGTCACATCACAAAGTTTTACTACTCCTTTCGCTTCGATGTCTTTGATAGAAATTTCTTGTCTCAATTTGTTTGTCGGCAATTCTAGTATCAAATTACACGTTACCCTCCACGAACAGACAATTTCGTCGTTCCGTGAAAAATTCAGTCGACGCGCGCTTTTGAATCTGACTCTTACATGTGTACAATTCACATCTGATGAAACGCTCGAATATTGTTGCAGGATCGTGACAACAAAACGCGAAACTAAGATCGTAGAAAGAACTTTAGCTTACAGCGGCGATTGCGTAACTACTGACGAGGTTCGAACAGAGACGCGTTAGATAATTATTAACCTTCTATGTTTTACGAATACATGTTTATGAGAGCTGTACAACAGAATAATTATTAACAGTTAGATAATTATTAACCTTCTATGTTTTACGAATACATGTTTATAAGAGCTGTACAACAGAACAGAAAAGACCAACACGTTTCTCCATTTTCTATGGAAATTTGTAATATTCTCTGGTTTCTTCCGGTTTTTTTTTTCGCTCGTTAAACACTCATAGTTTGAATCGATGCGACAGCTACGACGACCTATTATAACGTTTATTAAAAAGAAAAAAAAAGAAACAAATTTACACTCAGGCCTTGTGCAATTTAGTGGCACATTATGTTTCGCGAAACGTCTAGAAACAACGAACAACGATGTGACAAGTATTATCAATGCAATTGCGTTTGATGGCAAAAGTTCGATGCGTCATGAATTGTTTATGCTGTGATACAGCAGAAATCACTACAGTTTCGTTCGTGCTCGTGATTGCGCGATAATGTAAAAAAGAACGAATTACGCAGTTATTATGTAATTTTCATCAAACTTATTACACAACTTAATGTTTAACATTACTCGATCGAAGGTCATCGACCTCCGCACGCTCGTAGCTCTCAATTATCTTTATAAGAGCAGAAACGAGAGGAACGAATTTTAGCGTGCAGCGAACACAATTTGTTTGCCTCGGTGATTCGTTCATTGATAAAACGAGCACGAACTTGAATTCCGTTTCGAAGCGATCGTCGAAGACCTGTTGAGCCTCGACGATCGCGGATTTCCTCGTAGACCGACAAGAGGCTTGAAAACTTTGTACTTTTTCGAAAATAATTCCGTCCTCGCAGAGAATGTTGAATTACAACATTAAATTTAGAATCCCAGTTTCAACCCATCGGAAAAGATCGATATTGCGCGCGTGAAAGTCGCGTAAACGCAGTGTCATTAATTAGATATAAGATATTAATATTGAACCGGAATAAAATACTTCAAAGTTTTAAATTTTAAGTTTTACGATTTCAAAAAAACAAAGAGGAGAAAAAAGAAAATTGGTTTTCAAACTGGGGTTAACGTGAGCTGATTGAAATTATCACGATGATAAACGACGTAACTGCCACGATGAATCCTTGCCCTCTGTGCAAAAGTCCACATCGTCCATTTACAGCTATGTCTATAAATACCTAAACGCGAAATTATAAGCCCATTTACATAAACGATTAGACGCAAGCCGTGTGCATTCGCGCGTCGGCGATACCACGTCGCGCAGGTAAATGCAAACATTAGGTAATCCAACAGCTGAATGGCTAGTACCGTTCGAATTACATGCAACGTTTGTACAAATCTAGGTGTATACGTACCCGTACTCGCCCTAGAAATCAGAATACATCGTGCACGCGCAAAAGCTGTAGAAAAAATAGAACTTTCTATTCGAGATATCGGCCGTGTCGAAACGAAAGAACAAACGATCTCTACCTGCCTGTGTGATTTAGGCCTATCAGAGGATCATCACGCCCAAGTCGTTCGCTTCTAATCGAATATACCTACGTTACGTACGTTCGTTCCTAGCAACGATTTCTACACACTTACGAGAGACGATAGAAAAGAACGAGAAGGTTGGCAAGACCGGAGGCTTTCTTGCACGATAATTTTAGTAGATCGGTACTGTTAGTGAACTGATAAGTTACAAGTTGCCGGAAGAGAGAATTTTCGTAGTTTCGCAGTTTAATGAGTGCTTAGACGAGATGCGACTGAGTGAAAATTTCGCTAGTTTAACCAGTTGCGCTGGCGGACTGATTGCGGACCATAACGAGTGACCAAACCGTATACAATAATTCCTTTTGAACTCGCTGGTATGATATCACTGGATAGAAATTATTAATAAGTAATATTATTATTATAAATTTTAAATTATTATAACTTTATATATGATAAATATTATTTATTATTATCATATATTATATATAATAAATATTTATTATTATAAATTTATTATTTGTTTTGCCTGGATTATATTTAAATATACTTAAAACTGAGAGAACATTGCAATTTTCGGACAAAAAATTTTCTCGACGTGCGTGGCATGTTATTCCAGCGCAAGAGGTTAATAAAATCAATCGTTACAAACGTTATCAAACATACGCGAAATTTAAAATGACGTATGTGAAAAAAATGTATAGTCCAGTAAGAAAGGCGAGCTTCCATCGACACGTTTCTGTTGCACGACATCGTTAAAATATTTCAAACGAGTCGAATTATTATAAAAAATTATTTTCATCATTCTGATATAATTGTTTCAGCTTTCATTACTCTGACAGGTGTATAATCGAATCGATTAAACTTTCGTCCACATATTTCACGAAAAATTCACCCCAATTCCGATCCGTGTATCCTTGTAAAATTTTTTGAAATTCTGACGTTAATAATATTACATTATTGTATGATTGTATTACAAATAATATTCTATTATTAACTATTGGATATTGCCTCAACGTCGGTAGCTTGTAATTGCACTAATATTAGCTCGATCGTGCAAAAAAGTCCACAAGTCTGGCTGCTGTTGAGAAGACACAGAGAGCGAAACGTATTCTTTCTTTTTCCCAGGTTTTGGTTAGGCGCGTGCAGTGCCTGGACCAGCCAGGAAAGACAAAGGCAATGACGAAATATCTCGTTTACAATCAAAACAATCGGTCAGATTATACGAGTAGAGAGCTTAAACGTCTCATCGTACTTACGATCCGTGAGTAACGAATGGAATTGTCATTCGTACGTGTACTGAGCCCTGGAATTCTTCGACTCGCGCCATCCTTTGGCACGTAACTAACATGTGAACGATAGAACGATCCACGACAGAGTATAGTTTACGAGTGTCATAAGTTCTGTCGTTCTTTTTTTATCGTCGATATTCTCAATGAAAATATTGGTAAAATTCCAGAAATGAAATGAATTCATTGATTAACATTGTCCGTCTCTTGCGTCAATTTGACACATTTTTCTTATGAAATGTTATATTATTTTGTAGTAAAAGATAAACATTTGTTGTTTCCCACGTATTGAGTTATTCGATCGTGTTATTGTAATATTCGTTTTATAAGCACTTGACAGGCTGTAATTTTGCCTTATAATTTTGAATATGTTCAACCAAAAAGATATGTCTGTAAGATATTCGCTTAGATCAAGTCATCAGACTCCAAAAAAATAGCAGGAAAATTAAAAATTTATCTATAGAGCGTCATTATTCAGCGTCATGCTTGTTTTAAAGATACTTGTGTATGGATACTTACAATTTTGAACGTAAATTGTAACAAACGAATATCACATATCCAAAACAAATGATACATAACAAAACTAAAGAAAATAAAAAAATGAACACCTACACATGAGAGTAGGATTTATATGGGTTTTAAACTCAAATTTAGAAAGCAGATATTTCACTTATCTTTAGTAGAGTAAGAGTTTGCAAATTCCTTTTTAATATTAGTTCTCTCTTTAATTCTTTTTTAATTCTTAATTCTTGTTTGGTATTAGTTCTTTTAATATTTTAGTAATTTTTTTTAGTACTAGTTCTTTAGAGAGCAACAAAATAAACAAAAGAACATGAAATAAAATGAATCAGATTAAGATATTTAAATAGATAAAAGAATAGTTAAGCATAGTTAAGATAAATATAGGTATAGAGTAAAGCAAAGTAAGTTAACAAATGTATTACATGTAGAAATTTATGATAAATACAATGTGAAAATGTGCAGTGTTAAGAGATGTATGTAAAAATCAAAGTTAATTTATATGAAAATGTACAACGTGCAGTGTTAAGAGAAAGCAATGTAAAAACCAAAGTCAATTTCAAGGCCAAAGAGGCTAAAATAAATATATACATACATACTATTAATTCTTTTATTAATAGTAGTTTAGTAGTTTTTTTAGTATTAGGTCTTTCATTAATTCTTCTTTAGATATTAATTCTCTTTATCATTGCGTGAGATCGACATGACACCAAGCAGCGGAAACGAGAGACGGACGATTTTCACTGGAATTCTAAACGAAAACCGTTTCAGAAATCATAATCTCGAGCCGTAAAAGGAACGACAGAACTTACGAGCCTTTTAAAACCTAATATATACACCTGGCTATTTGCACGAATGGACGCGGAGTCGCTCAGCGTCCTCCGCGTCTCTTGCAGACACCGGCGTCTGTTCGAACGTGGAGACGTTCAAACATTCCCGACAGAGATTAGACTCGATCATTTCCAGAGCGTTCCTCACGCGGAGATGACAGTGCTCGCGTCGCAATGGCCGCGGTTTCTCGGAAAGTTTTCCCACCGCGAGAGCTCGAGAACTCGAGAGAGAGAGAGAGAGAGAGAGAGAGAGATAGAGAGTTGGAAGGAAAGTACTTGCTGGATCCCCAGGGCGACTTCCGGCTTGTGTCTGCGAAGTTGCCGGCCAGACTTGAAAAAAATTCCGAACGCCCGTGCGAACTTTCGAAACCCCTCTCGTCCCCATCGACGTGCTCGTGCTCCATCGAAGACGTTTCGTCTCCTCTTCGAAGATACGCTTAATTATCGGCCGTTTCACGGCGGCCAGTTCGGAACTGTTCACGTTTCTAATTCCGTCCGGACGCGATCGAAGGAAGGTGGAAGCAGAAAGAGGGAGAGAACAAAGAAAGAAAGAAAGAGGAGGAAGATCGGTGGACACGATCGTACCGAAGTCGATCGAGAGATTTTTGTCGCCCGGAACTTTGACGGGCTTTCGTTGCAATTCTTCTCTTCGAACGGTCGCGAACAGAGAGACAGTGTTGTCTTCGGTTTTTTGTTTTCTTTCTTTTCTTCGGGATACGAGCGATTTTTGGGAATTGTGCTCGACCCCGTCCCGCGTCATCGCTTTCTCGACCGTCATCGCTCTATCGGCCGGGCTTACATCAAACTGCACAATGCTATCCCGTTCTCGAACGCCGACTGCAGCGCGGTCGTCTCCATGCAGAACGCCCCGTCCTCGTACATCGTCGCGATTCTCTGCTGCTGCACGCGGCTCTCGCTCTGCGATCTGAAATGTGAGGCGTGAGGCGTCAGTTACTTTCGAAATAGAGTCGAGGAAAAGTGTCGTCTGAAGATGAGATTCACGAACGAGTAAATCTTACGAGAGATATTTCGCAACTTAACTGGTACTACTGACGATTGAAGCATAAAGACTTTATGGAAGAAAACATAGGGAGCAAAGTTTATAATAAAACGAAGAGCACAAACCTCTATTCGTGTATTTTATAAAAATTATTCAAATCACTGGGAAATATATATAATGTGGTAAATCTGCAGAATTGTACTTTGAGAAGTTATAAATTGGTCGTGTATATTTTGACCATTTTGATAATTCTAGTGTTGATCCATTCGGTGCTGATGAATATAGAAAAAATAAAGAAATAAAATAATAGTATGGAAAAAATAGAAATGTAAGATAATATTATGGAAATTATTGTAATTGTATCATATACAATAATTAGAGAACAATATACAATATATTGTATTATTAGAGTACTCTATTATTTTTCTATTATATATCTAAATATTGTATTATATATAATAATTAGAAAAATAAGATAATATTATGGAAATCATTGTAATTGTATCATATACAATAATTAGAGAACAATATACAATATATTGTATTATTAGAGTACTCTATTATTTTTGTATTATATATCTATTAGAGTTTACTATTATTTTTCTATTATATATCTAAATATTGTATTATATATAATAATTAGAAAAATAAGATAATATTATGGAAATTATTGTAATTGTATCATATACAATAATTTGAGAACAATATACAATATATTGTATTATTAGAATATTCTATTATTTTTGTATTATATATCTGTTAGAGTTTACTATTATTTTTGTATTATATATCTAAATATTGTATTATATATAATAATTAGAAAAATAAGATAATATTATGGAAATTATTGTAATTGTCTCATATACAATAATTCGAGAACAATATACAATATATATTGTATTATTAGAATATTCTATTATTTTTGTATTATATATCTGTTAGAGTTTACTATTATTTTTGTATTATATATCTAAATATTGTATTATATATAATAATTAGAAAATTAAATAATATTATGGAAATTATTGTAATTGTCTCATGTACAATAATTTGAGAACAATATACAATATATTGTATTATTAGAGTATTCTAACTAATTATTATAATTATTATTGTACAATATATTGTATATACAGGTATATACTGAAATAATTTTTAAGTTACGCGTTTAAGGAAAAATATCATACAACTTTTGTATTAAACAATTTTTCATTAAACGCATAAAAGCATGCAAGTGAATCACCCTGTATACTGTATAATACAATTAATATATTATATAATTATTACAATATTCTAATAATGCAATTATATACAATCGTATACTATATTGTTAAAGTATTGTATCAGAATATTGTAGAATCTGCGTAAAAAGTATTGCAAAAGAGTGTTATCTGTTTCGAGAGAAGAAAAAAAAAAAATACTTTAGTTCGAAGTGGATTGACAGAATTTCGGGACGAGTCCTGAATCTAAATTGACCTTTTCCAAATTCACCTTTCGTTAATTCCTTAATTCGAGTTAATCGAATCCCTCAATAATTTTAATCCTGTAATAATTCAGCAATTCAAACCGAATGATCAGATAATCAGTCATAAAATCGGAAATTACCGATTAATTACGTGTTTCTCTACAGTAAATTTACTGAATTCTTTCGTATCGAGAAAAGAAATTAAACAGTCCAGAGAAACTGACGATCGTATTTTAGATTCGTGCTCTCTAAAATATCCTCTCGTTCGCAATTGTGTCTTCGCGTGTTGCAAGCTCCGTTAACGAGGATCTTACGTGTTCTCCTCATTGCTTTGGGATTTCATTGCACACGTGTATCATGTTCACTCTGGTAACGTGCTCGACGGGTCTATTTAGGACAACGAGCAAGAGGGAATTCAAGATTTGGTTGATTCTTTTTTCTTTTTTTCCTTTTTTTTTTTTTTGTAAAGCACTGGATCGAAGAGGTAATTGAATAACTTCGGAAAGACGAAGTTCGAGGAACAACGTTATAACTTGCACCCCGCGTTGCGAGATTAATTCGAGATTAAACTAGCACCCTCCTTTCAAACTCCTTTTAAGTTGCTTTTAAATGGGAAAAGAATTTGATGAGCAATTAACACTTTATCTTCCAACGATCCGCATGCAAATAATGTCGTATTTGCATTTGCAACTGCTTGCAAAGTTAACGAAATAACATTAAAATTATAAACAACATTATATACAATGTTACAAGTAATAATAACCAAATAATATATAAATAATTGATAAAATTATGAATAACATTAAAATTGTAATTTTACGAAACTTGGAAACGTGAAATGTTTATACTTGTCAAAGAAACAAATTTCTATACATTTCAATTTCTATGTCAAAGTTCTATTTATTTCCTTTATAAACGTTTATTCGCGAGCAAATAATTCAGTTCCGTCGCAAAGATTTGAATTCATACAAAAATCACTATTTCCATTAAACGGAAGAAAAGTCGTGTAAAACCACAGCGACGTCCTCGAATTTTCTGTAACGCGCGAAAACGTTACAGACAAAGAGGTCGCGGAATCACGCGTGAACGTAAATCAACCTCGCCGCGAGCCGAAAGGTGAATTCGATTCGCGTTAACCGAGGGAGAAAGCGCCGCGTCCGGCGATTTCTACTCGAATCAAATTCACCCGGTACGATGCCCAAGGGTGTCGTCGAGACACGTGGTCGTCCACGGAAACGAGCGTCTGAATTATTTGTCCCGACTTCCTTCCCGGCCGTCGTGCACGAGGCACACATCCGGGAAACTCACCTGGGAGGCATAGCTCGCGCGCGTTGTTGCGTCCTCACTTGCTCCCTCGAGATTTGCTGGTTCGATAGGTAGCTACTGTCTCTGAGAACGGTCCCTTGATGATGGTGGTGATGACCGATCGACCTCTCGTTGTTCTGAGAAAGCGACAACTGCGCCAGATACTCTCTGAGCTCCGGCTGGCTGGCCAGCAGCTCGCGACGCACGTGAACGTTCTGCGCTGTGGGCGTCGTCGTCGTCGTCGTCGTCGATGAGTCCGACCACGGCGGGGGTGGCGTGTGCGATCGCGATATCATGGCGTATTTGTGGCACAGGTACTCCTCGTAAGTGGGTGGCAAACCGGTCTGAAACCGATCAAAGCCACATTGGTTTCTTTTTACCTGTAATACAGGGTGTCCGTACAAAGTCTCTTTACAGTGTTAAAAATTTATTACAAAGGCAAATTTGCCCGGGAAAGACAGACAAGTGGAAGTTATTAGAAAATGAGACGTATGTATTTAAGTTTTTTTCTATTTGTCTAATTTGGTCGTCCACTCCTTCCTGTTGTCGAACACTGTCCCCTGTCTCCATAAATTTATAAACAATCGTCGCGAGTTTCGAATTCAGTTGCCAAATAAAACAGGAAGCTTAAACCCTTCGAATTCATCGTGATTTCGATTTCAGACTTCTGTTCCGTTGTAATCCAGCGGCGATTATATTCGTTAATGATGCAGTGACGAGAGACAGTTTGTCGTTAATTATTCGTATTGTTTCCGTGTAATTAGCTAAATCTCTGTCGCGAGGAATTAAAAGGCGAGGGAAGATGGCAGATTCCACTGAAACATAGTCGAGCTGTAATTACAACCACCGACAATGGTGATACGTTATTCACACAGTTTCGTTATTTGAAACGAGTAATGAGTAAGAATAAGGCGGTGGTAAGGATCATTGAAGGAGGTCGATGTGGATGTTGTTATTATTTTGCTTCGTAGCAAGAAACGTGTTCCGAGAATTCTAGTATTTAACTTTACAGAAGAAACTTCAAAGAGTTAACAAGAAACTCGTGCAGCCGAGTTGGCACCCTAGAATTTTACGCTCGAAAGTACGGGATTAATTTGCAATTCATTTTGCGAATGTTAATTCCCTCGTCAATTTGTTGTTCAACGAACACGGGTGCAGTTGCTCGAGATGTAAGACTGTTGCTCATTGACGTATTTATTCTGCCAAGGTTGCAACTCAGCCAGGTTGCTTCCTTCGTGAATTTGATTCTCGTTCTCACCAACCACGACGCTACTCCATATAAACATACTAAAACAAATAATTCCTCGATTCGTAAGAAAAGTCTGATAATCTCAGTTTTACATTTATACGATGCGACAATAATATTGTATATATTTGATAATATTGGACAACATTATTGTATGTATTTGGTTATGTTGATAACGTTGACGACGTAAGGTTACGCAGATCAACTCCAACGTAGTTAATTCTACTTCATTTATCAAGAATCATAGAACGATATTATTGACAGAATTATTGATTGATAATATTATATATATAGCAATGTTGCATGTATTCAATAACATTGATAACACATGGTGACATAAAGTTACATAAAGTAAAATTATTCTACTTTACTTTTTAAAAATCATAAACAGAATTATTGATAGAATTATTGATGAACGATATTGTGTATACAGCAATATTGCATGTATTTAAAATATTAACATTGATGATGTAAGGTTACATAGATCAACTTCGACGAAGTGAATACTGTTTCACTTCTCACCAATCATAGAACGAATTATTAAAAATCACAGACAGAACTGTTGATTAATAATATCCCATGTATTTAATAATATTGATAACATTGATGGTTACACAGATTCAACAAAGTTAATTCTACTTCATTTCCCAAAAAATACACGTGCCATTCCTACGACCTTCTTCTACTCGGAAATACTTCCTTGCTCCAAATCACAAAAATTGCAAATCCACGAATTCGATTTCCGAGTTATCCGATTAATTCGGTGGATGCAAAACAAAGGAAGAGAGAGAGGGGGGGGGGGGAAGGAAGTCGAATCGATAAAATGGCAACTAAGGACAGTGTGGCAACGGGCTCGGGAGGACTCCAAGTGTCCTGGCGTCGTTACCGAGACTTTCAAGTGGGTCGCCATCGAGGGTGGCGGTGTTTTTTCGCGGTGGGTGGCCGCGACGTGGCACGAAAATTTATGTATCGCCCGGCGCCGCGGAACTATGCGGTCGAAATGGCTGGCCAGAAAGCTGAACGGTCCTCCAGTCGAGGAGCAGCTCGAAGAATTTGCCTTTGCCTCTTTTGTTCCTTCCACCCCCTCCCCCCTCCTTCCCTCCCTCTCCCCCTTTCTCTCTTCCTGCTACTTTAACACTAAAATTATTGATCAAAGCACAAGATTCCCATCGGAGACATCGAATTTCAAAAAATAAAGTAAATTTATAAATGTCGTTTTGTTGATACTGTACAAAATTATCGTCACTAGATGGCAATGTTTATTGAATCTGAATGAAACGATATGATCCCCGTTATTTTAGAAAAAATTATTTAAATCTTCAAAAACACACTGTCACGCCATCAGAGATTAAAATATTGATCATTTTTGGTAGTCCTAGTATTTTAAAGAACGTAACGGAGTGAGCGATCTACCGAGAATTCGAGCGACCATCTTCCCCTCCGACCGTTCGTGGAGTCCAGCTTCGCTCTCGTTGAAAACGAGCCGAGACGGCTGATTATTCGAATAATCGAATATTCAGTAAACAAGACTCGAGCCAGCAGAGTGGATCGGGCGTTTTGAATATTCAAGCATTAATTTCATCCCGCCGCTGGATTACTCGCGCACCGACCAGTCACACACCATCTCCGAGCGAAATTCAAATTCGTGCCTTTCCGATTCGAAGCTCGTTCTCGAATCCGACGGAAACGTAAATCACCAGGCTCGTTCCAGCCTCGAATTCCTTTTTTTAATAACAGATGAATGATTGCGAAGGGCGGACGAATCGAGAGATTATTTAAAATATATATATGAACATTTGTATACATATATATTCGGTTGCAATCATCGAGGAATTAGGGCGGCTTCGAGATAGCCGGAGCATCGATTTTACGGATTGCACCTGCGGTTGTTTTAATTCCCGAACTGTACGCCGAGCCTCCGTCGAGAACGATGGCCTGGTTTTCTTGAATTTCGTTGATCGTCGATTAAACGACACGCTGAGAGAGAAGAGAAAAGAAAAGAAATAGAAGACATTCCCTTCCTTCCGTGAAGAAAATGAAATTTCCTCAGCTCGGTTCTCCTCTCCGATGTCTAATTGACAACTCGAACGCGCATTTAACACTGGAACTATCAAGAACTAAAGTATAAAAATTAAGTCGAAGAAATTAGAATGCAAGGAGTAGGAAAAGATTTATAATACGATAATGAACACGAACTTTTATTCGTATATTTTACAAAAGCCACTCGAATTTCTAAAAAAATGTAACATTGTAAATCCACAAAATTACTCTAAAAAAATTATAAATCGGTCATTTTGGCCGCTATGGTAGTTCTAGTGTTAACGGGGATTTAAGGGAGGAATCGAGCGGTCGATTGCAGATACGTGTCTGACCAGCAGCGAGTTTTACTACTTTGCGGTCTACTGTGGCGATTCTGTGCCCATTGTCTGACTAGAGCGCGTCGTTACTACTCAACAGTTAAGGGGATATTCTAGCGTGAAGTGCATGTTCTTTTAACTTTGTTAAGTAATTTTTCTGCAAAGAAACTATTATACCTTTTGCAGTCAAATTGGCAAAGTTTATTTGTACGTATTTCGACGACGTTTTAAAATTTTTTGGGACAAAAACAGTTGAAATTAGTGGCACTGCATACTCTCAAACATGGTCGCTTTTAAAAAAGGTCGTCCCACGGTGTACATGATTCCGACCATTCTGCTTGTCGGAAATAAAAAAACGTGAATGTTCCTCAATTAGTACAAGTTTGGCTATAGCAGGTACCAAAACGAAAGAAAAAGTCGGTAATTAAAAAAGTGGCGATACTTTGAAGTTTATTCGATTATCGATTTTTGCATGTTTTTGTTAAACTTCGGAAGCCTAAAAAAATATAAAAAATAAAATTTTTTGGTTGAGTCTGATAGGGGCTATAGTCACACATGTACTAAACGCGTACTTAAAATTTTGAGTCAATTGGTCAAGTAGATTTTGAGATATCATGGATACCGTTTTGAAAAACGTAGTTTCCAGAAAATTATCTTCAAAGTTTAGTATTGCGGTAACAATGACGCTGGTCCTTCAAACAACCATAACTTCGTTAATTTTAGAAGTTCACTTGTAAGGTTATAGAAATTTATTTTTGAAACTATGTCCTTTAAGAACATGCAAAAAGAAATCGATTTTTTCAAAAGTTCACACTAGAATACCTCCTTAAATTGCAGGTGAATGCAAGGCGGTTTCTAATTTCATCGTCGTGTCGTCGATACATCCGTTCGGTTGGCAATTTCGAACCTTCGTGTTGCGTTCCTTCACGGCGACAGCGTCATCGAACACAACTGGTGACAACCATTTTGATGAAAATTAAAATATACACGTGCTTTCGACGAAGTATCGTTAAGATCTGAATTTCGGGACAATGAACACGCGAGTAAACGGACCGAGCATTGTTTCGTTGTTTGGAATTTGATTAACAACGAAGGCTTTCGTTTATCCGGCATTTTATTTGAGAAATGCATGATTTATTTGCCTAACAATGGAGCTTCGACGACAATATACCCTGTAATGTCGAATGGCTCGAGTGACAAAGGACTTGGCGGTGACATTCGTTACTGGCGACTTCGTACGAATGAATATTTAATAATCAATATTAAATCGTAGCGAATAAATCGAGTAATTCAACAATCATCGTGTATATAATATATTATTATAGAGTTACAGACGAAATATTAAATACTCCGCTTCTATCCAAAACTTTTGCGACCAAATCTTCCAAATTTTGCACTTCGATTGATTTTCGAATTCGATTAACCCGCGTGCTCGCCTTTTCTAATGCTCATTTGCAAATTTTCTCCTTCAAGGCCGTCTCTCTGTCCACCTTCTCATCCAAATTTTCAAACGTTGAATTATTATAGAACAACGTTCATTGAACTACGATCATTCAACTTCGTGACTTATAAATGCACTCTCTGTTATTTTATTTCGGTGAAAAATTATTTTCAGTAACGCAAGGAACAAAAGGAATGTATACGGTCGAGCCGAGTTTAATTTCACCTGTTCCACACATGAGCTCTAACGTGTCCAGAGTTTTCTGATACAGATTAATTTACCAGTGGCAACGTAACTGTGAAACGCAAAAAAAAAAAAAAAGGAGGCACGGTGTTTTGCGTTTAAACGAACGCAAATTTATCGGAGAACGAAACAGTTGTTATTCACGAGGAACTTCGTTAAGGGGTCAAGACAGTGTGAAATTTTCAAAAAATCGATTCTTTTCGTTTTGTTTTAAATAGTAGTTCGAAATAAATATTTGAAATAATTGTTTCCTCTTCTAATGTTGCTTCTTATAGTTCACCACAAAAGCTCATGTCAATCAGACATGTAGGTTTCTTTCACTCCAAAGTATACGTAATTTTTAGACCCGTCACACTATCCTGCCCTCTTAAAAAAAGCATAATCACGTTGGTCGTGTTTCCCCTGTTAGAGAAAATCCATTTCCTACGGGGAGGGAGACTGATAATAATCACTTACCTGCCACGTTTTCGAGATCGCCACGTCATAGGTGGGCGGCGGCGACACCATAGAAGGAATGGCGTAAACGGGTTGCGATCTACTTTGCGCGTTTAATTGACTATTTCCGGTTTCGTTGGCGCTCGCGTTCGGCGTGTCTGGAATGGTGGCGTACAGCGCCTCTGGTATAGTGTTCTCTCGAATCCCGCCGCCGAGTATGCTCGAGCCAGAGTCTGCAACGAAACGTCAAACGATTAAAAAGAAAAGAAGAAGAAGAAGAAAAAAAAGAACACAGAGAAAAGAATTTCACGTTTGAAAGAAGAAAAGAGTATCGTGTCAGACGATCGTCGATCGTTGGTGTCGAATGTCAGAAATGTTTCTCACTATCGCGTGACTCAGAGACGATTCCCATTTTGACAAAAAGAAAAGAAATATTCCACTCTGCGAAACACGCAATTAGAATGAAAATATTTTTCCGACGAATTTTCCTAACGAGATTTTCAGGTAGAAGCGAGAGAGAAACGGGGAGAGAAATCACTTTTCCGCGAAAACTCGCGGATTAATACGTTCGTATTGAAAAGCTTGAAACCCGAAAGTCGTTCTAGATTCTACGATTTAAATTTCGCGAAATATTCATTCAAATTTATACGCGGAACGTTCTGAAAATTGCGCGGAATTGTGCGGAGCGTGATTCTTACAAAAAATATCTGTATCTTTTCAACAATTATGAAACAATTGTGAAATTTGAAATTCATCGCATCAGTGAGTTTGATCATTGTAGTGTCAAATTGTAGGTACAATGGCTTGTTCCATTCAGAACAACGGTAACGTTCTTCAACGTTGAATCTTGAAAACTTTGAAACAATCATAAATTCACGTACGAACGCTCTAAACCGTCGAAACAAATTCTACGATCTAAATTTCATAAAACATTCATTAAAATTTACGTTATAAAAATTGAAAGCGAGACGTAAAGATTTGGCCAGAAAACCTCGAAAATACAAACGAAAAAAACGATCTTGAAATTGCGAGACTGTCACGGATCCATACGTGAACAAATAAATCGTGTAGGAATTATACAAAAAAACTGTGTCGAGGAGACGCATAGTTCGAGAGTGGTTCCATAAATTGATTAAATTAGATTACTGATTGATGAAATTAGAAATTTTGGCTTGCACCAACCTATGTAAGTGTAGTGGGACTCCGCTCTGTCTGCGCTTCGGGTCCTCCTCGAGTGATTCAATCGCTTCTCGTGTTTGCTACTTTTCGTAACCGGTCTTGCTTGTTCTGTCACCGAGCTGCAGCTTCCTGTTTCGGAACTTCTGCTCTTCCCACGGGCGTCGTCTTGTTGTTTCTTGGCAGCCCGCCCGTCCGACTTGCCGCCCTTCGACTTTGGTATTCTGATCGTGAGCTTCCTCGAGGACAGGGCGCCATTCCGTGATTTTGGCAGATCCACCACAACTCCGCACCCGCACACTGGCGCGTTTTCGTTAGGCATTCTGTAAGAAGAGAAACGAAAAATTCGGAATCGAATATTTCCGATCGTCGCTCTACGGTATTTTACCTAAATTGCGGACGTTTGTAACCAACGAATTGGTTCAGAAAAAAAGAATTTATCTTTCCATACACTTTATATTATTTGTATTCTTGTGTCTTTTAATCTTCTGTCAAATAAACGTAAATATCTAAAATTTAGTTGTAACACTTATTGACTGAAGGAGTAGGAAAATTATAGCATACTAACTTTTAGAAATAATGTTGAGACGATTAGCATTCTAAAAATGTGTGAATACGAAGGTAATTGATAATGTATTGAATTTTAAAACGAAAGACCTGTCATTGTGTATTTGCAACGAAGTATGAAATTTTCACGTTTATCTGACGCGAATTAACAGTGAAAAAAATGCCCTTATCCCTTTGTGCTTGTATCGTAAATTCGCTTGAAAAAAAAAGAACATACTTTAGTATTTTAATGTAAATCGCAATAAATAGAATATATATTTACGAACGTCAATAAAATCAACTTACATTTCCGCTATAAATAAGGCCAATGGGTGCAAGGTTTTCACCACCCACGCTGAACATATTTCATCAAATTAACTTTTAATAAAATTCAACATTACGTTTTCGATTCTTCTCTGTACTGGGTGTTCTGTTTATCTCGCCAAATGGAAATCTCGTAAAGGATTAACGTTGTAGAAAAAGAAACATTCCTGTAAAAGTTTCTATAAAGCGGCACATTATGCGATACTAATGGTATTTTCACGACTGATGGAGAATATTTCAACGTCAAGTTGATTTTTTTAGATGGACTCGTATAATTTCGACTATATTAATTTATTTATGTTGAAGAATCGTTGGCTTAGGAGATATTTTCACTTTAATCTTTTAAAGCTTATCGCATCGAAAAAGGAAGGAATCTTCTGTTTCACCACTCCATGCAAAGAAAAACGTCATTAATACTATACATAATGTGTTTATATTAACCAATTTCTTCAGGAACAATTCAATTCCTTGCCTCAAATATTTCCATTTTACGGGATAAACACCCTGTATACAGTGGCACGTATCTGAAACGAAAATATGTCTTCGCGTCGCGGCTTTAATTACCGACAGACCTTCCAATAATAATTACTCTGCCAATGATAATTATTTTCATCTTCTACGAAAAGGTTAAAGAGCGTCGTAATTCGATCGTAAACGAAACGGACTGCAAAAAATCTGCAGTCTCGAAATTTCAAATTTCTCGTCGCTACCATTATGGTATCACGAGAATTTGCAACAAGAATATTTCACGTCGAACTGGAAAACTTTTATTCTCCCATAAAAAGGAGAAACTCTTTCGTCTGTATTTTCTGGAGACCATTTTGTGCCATTAAATTTCCTGGCCTATCTACGTAAACTACATAGACCACGTAATACGTTCGTTGCATTTCGCAAACGTAATACACATTACGTAGCTGAATCTTATCGTGTGCATAAACAGTAAATAATAGTATAAACGATAGAAATAAAATATAAGTAAAATATATAATATTTATCATAGAAAGTATATAATATTTACCATGGAAAGTATATAATATTTATCATAGAAACAGCAAAGTATAAATAAAGTATGACATTGAGTTAAAAATAGTATTTTTAAGTAAAATTAGTATTTTTTATTAGTATTAAAAACAGCAGTAAATAAATACTAATATAAAAATTAGTATTTTTTATATTATATAGGTGAAATAATGAAATAAAAGAACGTGTTTCTTTCTGACACAGTTTCCTAACAATCAACCAGCTTTCGTCTAATTAAATATTCACTATCATTAAAGACTTGCCTCGATAAATATTCATTCAATAATTTATATCGTTAAATATAATCGACTTACTTACGCTACGAAATGAACGACGTATTTTTAAATATTTCGAGGGCTTAAATTGATCAGCCGGCGACGTCAGAAGTCTGAGTCGATCGTACAATCGGCTGCAGCTTCGCTTAAAAGCCAACTCGCGAGGCTCCGATCCACTTATCGGAACAATTTGCCAGTGTTAATCACGGAAAATAGCATGACCCAAGCATCCGAAATCCCCCCTCCCTTTGCCCCTCCTCTTTCGAGATTACTGCCGGAATTAATCGGAACCACGAGTGGCAGCGGAGTCGGATCGCGAATTGGCCAAATTGAACGGCATTTCACCGGAAGCGATATCGTTCAACGAATGCTTGACATCGATACTTCACCTCGGCTTCGGTCAGGTCCGTGTTTCGGGTATAATAATCAGCCGGAATAACACGACACACGTTATTAGGCGGGACCGCGCTTATTCCGGACGCCATTAATAACAGACTGATAATAAACCCTAATTGAAGTTGCTGCGCTCTTGACTGTTCGCTCTTGACGCCTGTGAACCCGATTAGGCGAACTCGCCGGTGGAAAAAACCGATTCCCTCGTGGAAAGATCGCCGCGAGGCTGCTCAGCCGGTGGCTGGGTCATCGTGAATTGTGCGCGGCACAATAAGGAAAAGGGAGATAATTGTACAAAGGGAAGCCGCGGTAGAACTTACAAGTGATCTGCAACGATTTTTTAAATTCACCGTCAATCAATGGCTTTTTCCAAATAGTTTTTCGATGGGGATCTGTGAACAAGGAAAAAGAGAAACTGCGAGTAGAATTTACGACAAGGGGCCATTGGAATGATTTTCCTCGAGCGTTGTATCGAGCCAACCAATAGCTTTTTCTAATGGTATTCGTGGAAGATTGTGCAATTCGCGAAAATTCTCTCTTTGAGATGGTTGATTCGTGGAAATACCTTGCCACGTTGTCAGATCTGAGACGAAACCCAGACTTTCGTTTAGAGACGTGAGAATAAATTTATCGAAATAAATATTTGCAAGCAATCTTGTGTTCTTTTCACAGCACTTTGAAAAAGCGAGAAACTGGCAAAGATAGAAATCAATCTCTTGACAATCTCTTGACCATCTTGCAAATACTCACATTCAGATGTGATTCGGTTGCAAGATGATAGACGAGAGTATCTACAATGATTCCATCATCTGTGATCATTACAGTTATTCGCGATGAAACGTTAAAAAGCTTCTTGTCTTTAGGTTCGTCAACTTGAAACGAATAATTTCGCAATCCGTATCGCGCCATTGTGAAAACTGCTTGTATAATAAAATCCATCGAAATCCTAACATACATCGAGGTACGAAATTTTTCCAAAGATCGGAGACGGTATCGCCTATACAGACGTACGAAAATTTAAGCCTAACTTCGATTGAAACTTCGTGAAACGGGACAGACTGTCCAGTAAGCCATAAACTCGATCCTATTCGACGTCCACCGAGGTAATCGTTTTCGAGTTGCTCGTAGTAGTTCTCGGCGATATAATGAATCGATAATCGTACTCGCCGAGAGGGTTGAGAACGTCTGTCTTGTTCAGTTAATTATTCGATACTCGTGAAAGCCTGAGTTCTCCGTTTCTCGGCTGTGACGTACGAAAGGGACCCGAGAGAAAGAGAGAGAGAGAGAGAGAGAGAGAGAGGCTCGACGTTCGTTGGAAAATCGGGCGCTTTGATCCACAGAGATTTAAAGGCGTGATTTACTGGGGACTCCGAAAAGGAGTCGCTTTCTTTCTTTCTTCCTTCCAGCCTTTGTCCGCGCTGCCTCGCCGGAACAATGGCCCCGATCCTTTTACAACGCTCCGGGCCCTCCTCCCTTTTTCGTTAATTTGTCTTTGAACGAAGGATTCGTCGCCGCGTCGAAGCGTTATCGCGCGTTTTCCAGGCCTCTGTGCGACCCTCGTCGGGAAATATTTCCGTGTTCGCCGGCCGAACCGATGAAACGAGTCAGCCAGAAAGTGTAGAACTTTGTCTCTCTCTTTCTCTCTCTGTCGTCTCTCCACTGTCTTAGCACGTTCACTGTCCTACGTATCCATGCATATGTGGATGCATGCTTTGTTGGTACCATGATGTTTTTGTGTGTGTATATATGTATATATATTACACTTTTTAGTTTATGTTTTGCAAAACAGTTTGTTTGGTATAATATTTTATAAAATTTTGTTCGATACTTATTCTGTAAATTGTTCAATAAATGTTAATCTTTAGAGAATATAATGATGCATTTTTATTTTTATATTATAATACATTTTTATTGTATACGTATAATACATATTTATTGTATTTTATATTATTATACATATACAGTTGTATAAATATTCAGACATAGATATTTAAAATGTCGCAAATCAAAATCGATGATAAACTTTGATTCATTTCAAAGCAACTGTATATATATATATATATATATATGGAATTTCATAGGTAAAATAAATATGATAATATTCTACAGATATAGGATAGTATATTCTATAAATATAGTATAGTATACTGATATTATATTCTATAGATATAGTATAGTATAGTGATATTATAGTCTGACTACTTGTATTCATATTTAATTTAAGAAATTTTGTACATATTTTTTATTACTATGATATCTGACTAATATCTGTTTAATTCACGTATAAAATTCTGTATATATCTTTTATTAATATGAAATTTGACTATTTGCATTCATATTTATTTTACCTATGAAATTCCATATATATATATATATATATATATATATATATATATATGTACAAAAAAATAGTGTTCAATTTTGTCCTCTTTCATTTTTTCATAGTATCTACCACTTTTACGAGAAAGAACGCTAGACAGTAAATTCGTACATTGGAAAATCTAATATTACATGTAGAATGTTTATATTATGGAATAAATATTAATTAGAATGTTGATGGAATATTAATTTTGTAATTTGTAACAAGTGTAACTCTAGGAATGTGTTGTGGAAATTAATATTTACAGAATATTAGTTTTCTAAGACATTAAACAGAGATATTTAGTGCAGAGTTGTTCACACTGATATTCACTTTATTGAACTTTTGAAATTCAGTGACATTTTCACTCGTTTTCCACTGATATTCAAAATCCAATAAAATGGC